AGGGCATGCCCCGACATACAATGTAAATCTCATTAAGATCTGTTCAGCGGTTTTGGCGTCTATCGGTAACATACAAACAAACAAACAAATTTTTTTCTATTTTATATATATATATAATTTAAAAAATATCCCCAATTTTTTTATACCATGAGAAACGAAGTCAAACGTGGGCTAATTTTGTTACTTTGGGTGATTATTAAAAATTTTTGTTAGGAATATTTTCTACCCAATTCGAAGCCAAAATATAAAAATACGGCCTACTTTTTGTAAAGCGTTCCCAAACTTCCCAAATTAACGAGAATTGGGACATTATCATAAAAAGTGGTCCAATTATGAACATTTTTGGTACGAAGACACTCCATGGCTTCACGAAATATTAATTTACAGCCAATTCAGTTGAAAAACGTGCATGCCGAATGCCAACTACTCGTATGGGGTCTACCCTACATTTGGGGTCAATACTGATAATTGGGGGAGAGAATCTAAAACATTAACTTACAGCCTTTTTGGATGAAAAACTAGTCGAAACTCCCCCAAAAAGCGAATATTGGGGCGTTATAACAAACGTGGACCCATGTATTCAATTTCAATACTAAACAGCCAAAAAGTAGTTGCATGGTAAGTGCAAAATTTCAAATCTCATTCATTCTATTGTGAGTTCAAGAGACAGACATGGATAATTCGACAAATTATTTTATCATTTCATCAACAACTACTTTGTCAAAATAGGCCCCCTTACATATGATAGACTTATGAAAGTGATTTTTCCAATCCTGAAAAAACTTTTAAAGTACTTTGTTGTAGGCAGCAGTTCCAGTTTCGATTTTTTATTATCTCATCATAGTTGCAAAATGATTTTCTTTCGTCCTTTCTTCAGTTTTGGGAAGAGAACAAATCAGTGGCCAAGTCCAGGAATAATGTTGGGGAAAGATAACGGTTTTGTGTTTTTGGCAAAACTTAACACGATGGTGCTCCTAGGTATTTTTCTTTATTATACTACGACCACGTGGCAAGAATTCGTGGTTCACCACAACATTGCTCTCTCCTTAATACCCTACAACCTACGACACTGCTATCGAAGAAACCTGTGAGCAAAATCTTTACATTTGATCGAAGTTGAAGTGCTTGTTCCGATATTTGTTCTTCCGCACGCATCCTTTGGAATGAATGGGCTTTAGTTTATGACCCTTTTGAGTTCATCAGAACAATCATCGTCATTGACATGTTCTTGGTCTTCCTTAACCCGATTATAGCACAATTTAAATTGCTCGTAGTCAAATCACCAAACGCCACAGTCAAACACGAAATTCGATCAGACCTTAATCTGTTCCAAAATCTTTATCATTTTATGTATTCAATACAAGAACTTAGAAATAAAGTTATTCGCTTAACATTATTTTTATTTTTTCATATTATTATTTTATAATTTTATTACACTTCTAGTGCGAATTCGCAAAATTTAATTTCGCGTAAGATTTTATTATTCACAAAAAAGCTGAATTTTACATTATTATCTCTATCCTTTAAGCCTTGGTACAATATTTATTATCTTTTGGTGCAAAGTACTCAGTCCATCTCACAGCTATATGATTCTAAACTCATATATTATATATGGACGTTAATTATCAATCAGTTATTTAGATTTCCCAGGGTATTTTTATTTATATTTCTATTATATATTCTTTCAGGGAAATGTGTATAAATAAATTATCCTTTATCTTATATATTTATAATAATCTAAGTTTAAAAAATGTCAGCCTATGACCTTTAAAACATACATATGTCAACATATAATCGCCTAATCCCCATCTAAATGGCATTATTATTGTAATTCACATGTTCGATTGCATGTAAATTATTAAAATTATGTTCACATATGCAGCATCACACTTGTATCGGGTTATTGAACCCAAATACTGATGCATGCATCTGTTACACCAACAACAACACATTAAGATATGCAATCTTTGATGTTTTCTTGTTGTTTGTTTACATTATTCTAATATTAAATCATAAACAAATCAAATCTAAGATTATCACTCTGTATACAGCATAAATGACAGCTATGAATGAATGAAAATTGTTGATTGGTTGTATATTAGAATGGGTCAGATTTAAGAAAATCTTATGAACAACAGTTATTTTAAAAAACCGTTTTTTACTAAAAATGGGTATTTTTATTATATATTTCATTCATTTTCCTTTCTAAGAAAGTGTACATAACATTTCACAAGTTTCTGCTGATTCCGATTTAATTGTATTTGCTAAAAATTAACAGGCTGAACAATTCGATTCATCATTCCATTTTTAACTCAATTCGGTTCCTCATACTATATTTTTCAAAACTGAAGCCTTTTAACTCCATCCAATTACATTTTATTTAATTCCTACACTTTTTATATAAAATTCTCTTTCCGGCCCCACATTAATATCCAAGACAAAATAAAAGATTACCAATGATGACATTTATATGATTGCGCTTTGATTCCGCTCTTTTTATACATATACTCGTATGTATGTATAAACATTTATGTTTATGCTACAATCTGTTGCTGCTAAATGAAAATGACATTCAAATACAACGTAATAAAGGGATAAATGTATGAATGAATGAAATTATCTTATTTTATTTATTAATTGCTTTATTTCTGATAATTACTTTTAAATACCATCGTATGTACAAGACAGACGAAATATGTGTAATCTAAAGATTTATCATTGAGAATTTTAAATTTAATTATTACATACACATATTTAAATGATGACGACAAAAAATGTGGGAATTTAGCAATCACAAAAATGGTTTGGATAAACTTGCATCATCTCTCTCGAAAATGCTTATCAACAAATAAAATTACATCAGGCATTTTTACTTGTGGCGATTGTCAGTTGGTGGACGAGAGAGGTGAAGGGTTGCCATTGCGCTCTACTTTCTCACCTACAAACTACATTAAAATTTCCTATTATGGTCTCGGTACAAATTATAAGAATTATATTTGTAAGTCATGGTGAGGATACCTTCAAAATATAACTTTGGATATTTGAGGAATTTGCGAGGGTATTTTGCCCAACAACATATGACACCTAGACGTGAATTTTAATAAGACTTTTGCTCGTCTTGGAAGCATAACTCGATTAGTTTTTTAATTATTTTTGTTAATAATTGTTTTTATTTCAGCCAAACATGTTATTGGTCTGCCATCTACAGTTGTCTAGAAACAACTCTGCCTTGAATTTTGTGCAGTGGTTGGGGTCATTGCTTAATTAGTTTGTCATTTTCATCTGTGTGGTGCTGTCATCTTTATTTTAGTGTTATCTTCATGTGCTGATTGTGAGACTGATTATTATAATTGTAGGGGTCTTCGGATAAATTTCATCCGGCGACGGTTGTGAGCCTCATTAAAAAATACTTTGAACGAATTTGTAATTCACACCCAAAATTATATATCGATTTAGCCAACTCCCTACATCCGTCTGTCAAAATCTCGATAAATTATAGGAATTAATTTGATAAGAATTCCAGGTTAGGACATTGTCCAAAAGATAGCATAAGAAAACCTTAGGCATTTGTATAGTCTACACAATATAGTTTCGAGGGTTTTTTTATTTTTTTTTTTACTTAGAAATTATAACACAAAGTAGCGTATTTTTGTAAAACCTGTTCCCCTCCTTGGAACATAGGGTTTCCATAATTAGTCTAAGTTTTTTAGTAGTTCCGGTAATCATTGTTTTATTTCAATTATGTAGATGATTGGTCTTCTGTAGCCGGTCATAGGTGATGTGGCTGCCATCTATCGTTGTCTAGAAACAACGTCCCCTGCAGTTTGTGCGGGTCCTTGATTATTTTGTCTTGATATTCTCCTGTGGTTGGCGCTATATCTTGTCGTTCCTATTTTGGGTTATTTTCATGTGTTGACGCCGAAATTGGTTATGAAAATATAAAGGTGTTTTTTTGGAAATATTTAAAAACAATTGCAAGCGAATTTGTAAGATTCGACACACTATAACACCAAAGATCATATTTTGATGAGATTTGTGTTCCTCCTCAGAGCATAGGACTTCCACAAGTAGCCCCAGATTTTGCGTTAATAATTTTTTTCATTCCAGCTAAGTGAATGGTTTTTAGTAGCCGGTCCTAGGTTATGTGGCAGCCAATAATCGTTGTGTAGGAGCAACGTCCCTTGAATTTTTTGTTGGAGTCCTTGCATTTTTGGAGCCTTGCATATAGAGCTCTAAAATTCAAAAAATACATACGAACTACTCCTAGGATGTTTGACATAGAAAATTGAAAAAATCGATCCACTTTTCTTTATATCCCTACTATAAGGGTAACCTAAATGGGGATTTTGACCATGTTTATCATTCGAATTAGGTCTATTTTCGTTGGATGTTAAATGTTCCTAAAAAATTGTCATCATGGAACTAATAGTTACCACCCATATAAAGGCACCTCCTCAATTTCGATATTTTGGGGAGTTTAGGCACGTTTTATTTTCCAAACATTGTATCACTATTGGCCAAGTTTCGTGGTAGCTCCAATATTTAGTATTTTAAGTACTTTTTACTCATTGGGTGACAAATTTTCCCACCGAAAAGTATCAAATCGGTTCACTTTTTGCAAATGCCTCCATATAACAGTAGTCCAAATTTTCATTATCTTCTCATTGGTTGGCGGATCTTTCTTTAAATTCATGTATCAGGTATCTTAAGATATACCATGAGAATCTCGTATTTGTATTAGTGATATGTCGGTCCGACACCGACTACATTTATGATTGTTTTTAAAGTATTTTAATTTTATAGGACTATATAAAGTTTATGCTTTTCTAGAAATCATTTACGATATATTTCTTTCGAAGTTATTATATTTTTTCTAACATTTACAATTAAAAAATAATAATTTTAATATCATATCTAATAAAAATATATATGCACATTTATATATAAACAATAACAATTGTACTTACCCACAGACATCTTAAATGGATTTTTGAATTTATTTAATTGCAGTCGATTGTTGCCAATAGCGGAACGTGAGCTTCCTCCAAACGATGATCAATGGCAGCGGCAATAGCTGGGCAGAAAAAAGTTTATCAAGAAAACAAATTTGAAGTTCAATTGGTGAAGGTACCGTTTGTGATCGTCGTTGTGGTGGTAGTGGCGGCGGTGTTGATAATAATTGTAAAGAATCGAGGTATAATCGAACAAACACTTTGAACACCATAAAAAAATAATAACAATAATTTTTATTATTTTGGCAGTGTGCACTTGTTGTGTGTGTGGCGCAATATAGGCGGCAGAGAACAACAACAATAATAATATTTTTTCTTCGTTTTATTTAATTTTTCTTTTTCTTTTCATTCCACCAAAAACAGTATTTCTATATCCGGCGGAAACGTTATGTTTGCGACTTCAGAGTTTTGGATGCCTATATTCAAATGTTTTTTTGAATTTTCGGTTGGACGTGTGTTCAATAGTGTATTTTTTGATTTGAAAAAAAATTAAATTTATGAAAACACAAAAAATAAAATCTGTGTTTTATTTATTTTCTTTTATTCGGGCGCAAACACTTGCAGATGGTTATCGAACACAGGCACACCAAGCGATCATTGACCTGCAAAAAAATAAAAACAAACGATGAACAAACTTTTTGCATTAATTTCGCGGTGATGTATTTTTTTTTTTTTTTTTGAATTTGCATGGTGTAAGGGAAATAAATGAGTTGTATGGAAAGAAAATAATATAAAATCGAAATAAAATAAGCAAAAATTATAATAAGTTTTAATTAAAAATTCTCAGTACAAAAGTAGGAACAACAACACGATAGACATGTAATTGTCCACCTGACATAAAATATTACCAAGACAGCGGTTGTTGGTAGTGGCTAAATAGCCTGGGCTTATTAAAAGCAGATACCCTGTTGACTGGTTGTGGAAAATCCAGGAGGCTTATTCGTGACATTAAAATGGGTGGAGTTGTTAAGTGGTGGTGTTGACCGCACCGACATACAACATATCAATATCACCGAACACATCAAAACATTGAAGACATTGAACTGTGATCAAACCTTTGATGGGATATTGAAATGTGTTTGGAATCCTGAAAAGATCGGAGCTGAACATATATGATATGATAAAAGACTATCAATCGAAAATTGGATATAAAATGCATATACATTTAGATGACCTCGTCTATAGGAGACCAATTTGTCTGTATAGAGACCACAGGTCTTTATATAGACCAATTGGTCTGTATAGAGACCACAGGTCATTATAAAGACCAATTGGTCTGTATAGAAGAGACCACAGGTCTTTATATATATAGACCAATGGGTCTGTATAGAGACCATAGGTCTTTATATAGACCAATTGGTCTGTATAGAGACCATAGGTCTTTATAAAGACCAATTGGTCTGTATAGAGACCATAGGTCTTTAAAAAGACCAAATGGTCTGTATAGAGACCATTGGTCTTTATATAGACCAATTGGTCTGTATAGAGACCATAGGTCTTTATATAGACCAATTGGTCTGTATAGAGACCATAGGTCTTTATATAGACCAATTGGTCTGTATAGAGACCATAGGTCTTTATATAGACCAATTGGTCTGTATAGAGACCATAGGTCTTTATATAGACCAATTGGTCTGTATAGAGACCATAGGTCTTTATATAGACCAATTGGTCTGTATAGAGACCATAGGTCTTTATATAGACCAATTGGTCTGTATAGAGACCATAGGTCTTTATATAGACCAATTGGTCTGTATAGAGACCATAGGTCTTTATATAGACCAATTGGTCTGTATAGAGACCATAGGTCTTTATATAGACCAATTGGTCTGTATAGAGACCATAGGTCTTTATATAGACCAATTGGTCTGTATAGAGACCATAGGTCTTTATATAGACCAATTGGTCTGTATAGAGACCATAGGTCTTTATATAGACCAATTGGTCTGTATAGAGACCATAGGTCTTTATATAGACCAATTGGTCTGTATAGAGACCACAAGTCTTTATAAAGACCAATTGGTCTTTATGATACCCCTTGGTCTTTATAGAGACCCCAGGTCTTTATGAAGACCAATTGGTCTGTGTAGAGACCCATGGACTTTAGGAGGCCACTTGGTCTTTATAGAGACCCAGTTCTTTATAAAGACCAATTGGTCTGCATAGTCACCTCAGGTCTTTATGAAGACCAATTGTTCTCTATATATTGTTCTGCACCTAAGTTTACCCATCTCTGCATTAATATAAACATAATCTGCATAGCTAATTTTTATTTTTCTTACTACTTTTTTTCTATCTTCATAACGGAAGCAAATAATTTCCAATACCAAAGCCAACAACAACAAGAATTGTCAACAATATATACAAATCAACCAAGGAGAGTGGGGATGGGTGTGAGAGACAGCGAGAGACTCAAAATAATTATAGCTTGCGGCTGAGTACAAATTGAAAACTAAATGGACAACAATATTTTCAAACCATTTGATATCGATAGAAGGAGGAGGAGGACGGCTGGCCGCCCGGCAGACAAATTCGATTGGAAACAATCATAATGAATATTTTATGATCAAAATGGAATTGAACGGTAGTGCTGGTGGTGGTCAACAATTGTGGTCAGCTAGAAGCTGTTGGTGGTTATCTAAAGGTTTTTTGTGGTCAGACTGGTTGTCCGTTTGTTTTACATTCATTTCCCATTTCAATTCCTAGTAGAGGTCACTAGGTGGTGGGTGTCTCTAAGTTTAGAGACTCTGGACGTTTTATTGTGCAACAAACAGTACATGTAGTTGTTGACAGAGTGGCTGTCGTTTTCGTTGTTGTTGTGTGGACACTTTGCATATGGCTGGGTAAGTTGTCAAAAGCGGATATGGCACAGGTGCATCAAAACGGAAATGGTCACACATTGACGGAATTGAGTGTTAGCCAAGTGCGTGTCATAACTGATGATATTAATGGGCAGTGATGGGGGCCAGAACCGTTAATATGGGTTTTGTGTAGTTTTTTCTAATAATAGTTGTTGGTTTAAATTTCAACTTAATTTTTTGTTGTTTTGGGAAAATTTATTAATTTTTGTTTTATTATTACTACTGCCATTATTATTATCGTTATTACTGAGAATTTTTTATTATGCACCGCATAGAAATAGTTTTAATTAGTTAACCAATACTTAGACAAGGTGTGGATTAACTTCCTGCAAGTTTTAGTGGACATATGATGGATGTATGGATTTGCCAGTGGGAAAATCCCAATGTCTTTTCAATATTTTTTCTTATTCTTCTTCGTCTTCTCTATGAACCCTGTCTAGCCCTTCCCATATTTAGGAATGTGAATTCATTTAAAGTAGAGTTGATTTTACAGTGATAAGCAGTTGGAAATTCTTGTGGTAATGCAAGTTTAACCAAAGACGGCTGACTGTCAACATGCTTGGCGTTTAGAAAAAACGAAGCTAATTATTAATTTGTAATGCGTCTTCGGAGGAAACCACAAAATGTTGTTTTAATTTGTTATAATTTCATTATGTTGTCATGTTTGACCGCAAAACAACATTGTTTGAGGTTTTTTTGGTGACAACTTCCTATAACGGTCTGTCTCGTTGAAGACATTTTTAGCAAACCCCCAGTTAAATTTTTGGGCGAAAGCTTTTGCGTTGACATTAACGGTTGTTGTTGAGACAACAGTATTAGCGGGCGTTAGAATGCAAATGAGGCGCCTCATTTGTGTTTAGAAATGCTTTTAATTTTACAGAAATGGTGTTCAGTTATGTTATTGGAATTTGAGGTTTGTTATTTATTGTTTTCTCACGAGTAACATAAGCTGACCTTTTAAATGAAATTAAATTTTTGGGGAAATAATTGTAATATTGAAAACATACAAATACAATTGTAAACCTCATGTGTCTTTGGAATGTTGGTGATAAAAAAGAATTTATTAAATTTGAAGCAGGTTTTTTTTAATTTAACTGATGCCGATTTATTTCAGCTAATGAAAAAAATTAATAATTATAAAAATTGACAACATAGTTGTAAAGCAGGGAATTGTTTTCCAGTTTTTTGATGTGTCCATGCATCACCGACATATTTTTCCTTTCGCGAAATTTGCGCATGGATCTTGGTTTAGTATATAAAAAATAAAAAAAAGTTGACTCAAGAATTGAATTCGATGAGCAATTGTAGCAAGGCGCCAAAAATAGTCAAATCCAAGTGAAAATGCCAAACTGGATTTCCTGTAAAAGCTGGGATGGTTAACTGCTGCCGAAATTAGGAAAGTATAGTCTCTTGAGCAGGAATAATTTCTCCTCGGAATAGTTATGAAAAAACCAAAGAAAGAAAAACAAGGGTTTTAGAATGGGAATTTTCCAAATAGTGGAATTTTATTGGACAAAATTCGGTATAGAATTTGGAAACGAGTCTTACCAATGACAGTTGTGTTTGCTGGTTAGAGTAGAAGTGTTTTTATTTACAATGAGAACAAAGAAAACAACCAGTGGAAAACATAAAACATTTGCATTTAGTACCAAGAGAGAGATGCAAATTTAGGCGAATAAAAGAAAAATGGAAAATAGAAAATAGGGTGACCAGCATAGTTAACCTTGGCGTTAACATTACCGGCCCCCTTGCAGGAACTGCAACTAAAGAAATTAACCAAAAAGTAGCACTCTCTCTCTTGTTTACAACAAATTGAATGTATTTAAATATATGTATATAGAGTTGTGAACGGGCTGGTACCAGGATACAGTCTTCCTTCAGAGTGACCACCTCCAGAATATATATGTCCGTAGCCACTGGATACTAAAGTCTGCTGTAAAGGAAAGTCTGTGCTTTTTGGGAAGGAGGAAAAAACAATAGTGCATTAATTGGTGGAATATAATCGACAGGAATAGCGACTAGTGTGTTCACTGGAGCAACTCTTATCTTGGAATACACCAGGTGAGTGAATACGGACGTACCTATAGCTATTCGCACGTAAAAAACGGCTGCGTATGCCTTTCTGGATGCATCGCAAAAGCCATGGAACTGAATGCCAGCCGAAGGAGTAAAACTGATCCGCATCGGAATTCGAACTCTATCATGAACTAAGTAGTTTGACTGGAATATTTTCCAATTGGACAATGTGGAGGGACTTATACCTGGGATCATATCTTCTGCATAATCGGACCATATCTTCTGCATAATAACCTTCGCTACAACTGTGCATGGCGAAAGCCAATCGGCAGGATCGAATAATTTGGGGATCTGAGACAGGATCTCCCATTTTGTATAAGAACATGACAAGGCTACATGAAATATATGATCATTGGGAAGATCTCGAATGTCTCTCGAATTAGATCTCCATTTTCGAAGGCAAAGACCAGCGGAATCCAGGACAGATTTGAGTTCGGCTTTGGATCGAATGGCGGACGAAACAGAATGGGATCCGAAAATCACGTCATCGACGTACATGAAATTATGAAAAAACTCGCTTGCAATTGTATATAAATCTTGAACATCGTCAGCAAGTTGGAGAATAGTGCGAATAGCCAAGTACGGAGCACAATTGACACAGAAAGTGACAGTTTGTAACTCGAAATCATGAATGTTTTCACCTGGGTGGTTGCGGAATATGATACATTGGAATGGAGTATGATCTGGATGAACAAGAATCTGGCGGTACATATTATCGATGTCCGCATTGAATACAATTTGGAAGAAACGCCATTTGAGAAGTAAAGTGGTCAAGTCAGATTGCAACACCGGACCAGCGTGCAAAACATCGTTCAGGCTGTGACCATTGGACGTATCGGAAGGAGCATTAAAGAACACCCGAACCTTGGTGGTCGAGCTCTCCGGCTTAATAACCGTGTGATGTGGTAAATAATAATGGCGTGAATCACTATTTAAACATGGATTAGGAACTGAGACCATGTGTTTCGACTGAACGTACTCATTGAGTACCTGATCATACTCCTTTTTACAGTCTGAATTACGAAGAAGTCGACTCTCATTGCGATGGAATTGTTTTATAACTCTTGAACGGAATCGACCAAGGCCCATTTTCTCTGAGGAACCTTGGTTGAAAGGAAAACGAACGACATACCTACCATCTTTATTCCTTTTTGTAGTGGAAACGTAGAGCTCCTCACAATATTCATCGGTGTCAGGGAGAATCTTATCTCTAGGAAGGTTCTCAACTTCGTAGGAATGACAAATCTCTTTGACTAAGGAGACCTCGCAGAAATTGGAAATAAGAGAGGCTGGTGGAGGGAAATCCGGAACGGGGCCAGTTAAAATCCATCCGAAGATAGTTTCTTGTCCCATTAAGGAGTCGCAAATATCGCGCATTACCCCAGCACGCATGATGTTTGGAAGAAAATCACCGCCTATAAGGATATCGATGCTGGAGCTTTTGAAGAAATGTGGGTCAGCCAGATTAATTGAAGGAAGTTGTGAGAACAAAGATGGTGGTAATGTGCGGGAAGGAAGATTTCCAGACAAATGTGGAACCACGAATGCTTGCACGGAAAGCTGAACGGAATCATCAAATCGAGAGGACAGCACAACAGAACATAATTTTCGAACGGAGGCAGCTGTCGAATTATTAAGACCAGAAACTTGAACGTTGGTACGCTGATACGGAAGTTTGAGTTTGTTGAAGAATCGTTCTGATATGAATGTTCCTTGAGAACCCGAATCTAGGAGTACACGAGCGTGATACGTTACTCCTAAGTGGATCACATTCACCAACGCAGTCCCTAACAAAACACCCCGGGAGTTGGACGTAAAGCATGTTTGAATTACTCCACCCCCTGGACTAGTGGACTGTATTGAATTGGAAGAAAATGGAGTGGAGTGTGGGCTTAAATTGGTAGAGCTCGTAGGTGAAATTGATGGACGACTATTTGTCGAACGATCATGGAGCATAGTGTTGTGCCGCCTCTGACATTCGAAACAATTATTTTTACTAGTACAATTTTTTATGTGGTGAGTTTTCGAGAAACAATTCAAACATAGACCTTGTTTCTTGATCTCAGCCACTCGTTGTTCAACATCCATAGAAATGAATCTAGGACATTCTCGAATTATATGAGCGGAATTTGTGCACAATGGACAATTTGGAGCTGTAACATTGGTCTGGAATGAGCTGAACTTCGAATTATTTGAATGTACATTGGATTTAGTTTTATGACCATCAGACTTCGGATAATTGCGCATCTCGGAGACGGATTCGAGTGTACGATGTCGATTCGTAAGGAAAGAATCAAGGTCAGCCCATTTTGGAATAACAGTCTTATCAGCCAAACCTTGTTCCCAAAGCGTCAGAGTTGAGTCAGGAAGACTATTCGAACAAAGAAAAACAAATATTGGATCCCAACTTCTGACGTCGATATCGTACAGAGATAACGCAGCAATACAAGAATTTATGTCGCGTTGCAATGACTTAATTGCACTCGCTGACTCGGAATTAATGACAGGAAGATTGAATAGAACTTTTAACTGACCATTAACAAGAATTCGCTTATTTTCGAAACGATCGCACAAACCTTTCCAAGCAAGTTGAAAACCTTGATTTGTCAAAGGTGCGCGTTGAACAATATCTCTAGCTTCGCCTTTAGTCTTCTGGGTCAAATGAAACAATCGCTCGACTGGACTGAGCCTAGAATTTTTTATGTACACGGCTGTGAATATATCTCGGAAAGTAGGCCATGACATATAATCCCCGTTGAAGACTTCGGTATCGCATGGAGGCAGATTGAAAGAATAATATGAACCGTGATCATTATGGACCATAGCATTAGGACTCTGAGGCGAAGGGTTTGGATGTGAAACAGGCGGCTCTTTAGGAACTGTTTGGAGATCCTCAGACAACTGTGTAAGGCGAGCCAAGCACTCGCAATAAGTGATATAGGCACTATTATACTTGGCTTGGAATGTCTCAAGCTCTGAAGCGGCTTCTGCATCTTCTTCCTGTTCATCATCCTCCTCGTTCTGTTCTTCGCTAGCTCGATCGGACATAAATTGGTCATACGCTGATTTGATGCCTGCCCATAAGGACTTAACTTCAGAAATGTGAATTTTTACGAATTGGGCAGACGTCAAGGGAACATTACCACCGACTACTTCGGCATTGAAGGTGACCAGACGATCGGCTTGACGAATGAAGGCTTCCAAAGACATGATTGATCAGTGAAAATGAATGAAAATTGATTTAGAACAAGAAACTAGTAAATAATAGAAGAAGAACAATAAGAACGGAAGGAAATAGGATAATTTCTCAAACAAATTTGATTGGAAGATATAAGAACTTGTTGGAAAATGCGTTTTTCTTTGTATTTTCTTCTTTGTTCAGCGCCACCTAGTGGTGAAGGAATGAACAATTGGTAAAACAACGAAAGAAAATAAATGTAGTATGTGAATGTCTACGAAAAATCCCAGGAAAATCCGGAAGAAATTAGAATAATACTGAAAATATTATAATTTTCGAGGTATTTTTAATTATTTAAAGCGCCCCCTGGTTACAGTGGAGCAAACTACGAACAATTACACAGTCTGAACAAATGTGCAGTTAATAAATGCCCAAAGGATTAAAATAAACCCAGGAAATATTGAAAAAATTAAAGTTTTCGAAGTGGTTTTGAACTTGTAGAGCGCCCTCTAGTGGTGGAATAATGTACTACACCTTAGCACAGTCGAAGACCAGAATTGCAATATGTAAATATCCAAGAACAATAAGAAATATTTGGATAAATCTTGAAAAAATCTAGTTTTTCTACGAATTTCTTTATATGGACAGCGCCCTCTAGCGGCCGTAATGTGAACTAAAAAATGAACAAGAAGAAAGTACAGCACCAACTACCTTGATATATGTACGAATTATATATTAATATATGAATGTCGCAAACAAGTTACAGTGCGACCATGTAAAAG